TAGAAATGAGGCAGTAGCTCTGCCCCACAGAGTTCAGACAGTCTGGTCCTGGAGATCCAACAGGAGGAATCTCCCAGGGATCTGGAGGATGAGATAGAGAATTCTCCTAGAGAGTCTTTACACTCAGTGAGATTTGATAATGGCCAGAGTACTATTGCTGGTATCATTTGTTCCACCATTGTGAATCAGGTATGTGTGAAGGCAGATTGCTGCTCCTAAACTCGTAAGTATCTGGATGACAGAGCCACACCCAGACTGCAATAGTGGCTACTCATTACCTAGTATTGTGATTTGAGCTAGCTGCCCTATTGGGGACTTTGTATCTTAGGACTGAGTGTGGTAAGTGTAGGGTAAGATAAGGCCAGGCACTAGGATATCTTTAATGTGATAAAGGAATGGACAATGTCAGGAAACTACCCACAGATGGATAACTTTTTTTCTCATAGTAATAAAATGGCTTCCTAGAAATAAAAATACTACATCTCCCAGCTTCTCTTGCAACTATGCATAACTAGGTAAACAAATTTTGACAAATGAAATCTAAATCAATGCATTGTGTGAGAATTTAGAGGATTCTAAATTCTTAAGAGATTGCTATTTTAAGCCTTTTGAAAACTTCTCTTACTGTAGTCATGTTTTCTGGGATGTGGATATAATGGTTAGAGATGTGTTGCCATCTTGAGTTATGAGGTAACCTGCGAGAGGTGGAAACTACATGTCACTAAACAAGATACGAAGTGTCTTAGGTTGGGATATGGCAAATTTACCTCCAGTCTTTTATGAGGTACAGAAATAGTCTTATTCAAGCCACAATTATGTGTGTGTGTGTGTGTGTGTGTGATATGAAATAGAAACTAAGCTTAAATAATATCAAAATGATGAAGAAATGCTTGCATATTCAAAAGAATGAAATTAGACTCCTTTCTCAATATAAAAAATCAACTCAAAATGTATAGAAAACTTAATATAAGACCTTGGACTGTAAATGTACTAGAAGAAAACATACAAGAAAAAAAACTGACATTAGTCCCGGCAAGGTTTCTTGTATTTATTGCAGTCAATAAAAGCAAAAAGAGGCAAAAAAAGATTCAAAATAAAATGCTTCTGTTCATCAAAGGGAACAGAAGGACGAGGCAATGTTCAGATTGCAAGAAAAATGCTTACAATTCATACACATGATAAAGCACTAATACCCAAAATGCATAAGGACCTCAACTATAGGGCCAAATTCCCCAAATAATTGAGTTAAGAAATGAATGAGTGACCTGAAGAGCCAAGTTTCAGAAGACATGCTAATGGGGAAGAGAAACATGATAAAAGGCACAGTATCACCAGTCCACAATAAACCAAAGTACAATAAACTGTCATCTCACACCCATTAGGGTGACCATTATCTAAAGACAGAAGATGAGGATGCAGAGAAAAGGGAAACTTACACAGTTTGTAGAATATAAATTAGTTAACCACGATGGGAAACAGTACAGAAAGTTCTCAAAAGCTAAAGTAGAATTATCACAGGATCTAGCAATCCCACTTCTGGAGATATATACACCAAGGAATTGAAATCCATGTGTGGAAGGATGTCTGTTCTCTCTTGTCCATTGTAGCACTATTCACAGTGAGTTGGGGAATCAATCCAAATGGTCAACAAGGGATGAAACAATAGAAAACATATATATACATATACATATATGTATTGTATACGTATGTATATACATCATAGGATACTATTCAACTTTCAAAAAGGAGGAAACTCTTCACTAGTGACAACAGGAATGGAATATGAGAATAGGATTCTAAGTTAAATAAGCCAAAGAGAAATGAAAATTGCTTTCTCCTATGTGGAATCTAAAACAACTGAACTCTGAAATAGAATGGTGGCTACCAAAGACTTAATGGGGGAGGAATAGAATAGTCCAAGCATTCAAAGTCTCAGAAGAAATAAATGTGAACTTTTCTTTTGTGTTGGTACCAAGGCTTGAGCCCAGGACCTTGTACTGTCATGAAACTTTTTCCCTTATAGCTGGTACTTTGCCACCTGGTTATTTCCTGGTTAATTGGAGATGGAATCTCATGATCTAGCTGCTGGATTCCAATCATGATCCTTTAGGTCTCAATCTTCTGAGTAGCTAGGATTACAGGAGTGAGTAGCCAGTACATGGCTTATGTGAATTTTTTGCATGTATGCTGGTCCTGAGGCTTGAACTCAGGGCCTCAGCACTGTCCTTGAGCTTTTGTGCTCAAGGCTAGCATACTCTACCTCTTAAGCCACAGCTCCATTTCCAACTTTTTGGTGGTTAGAGATGAGTCTCAAGGACTTTCCTGCCCAAGCTGGCTTTGAACTGCGATCCTCAGATCTCAGCCTCCTGAGAAGCTAGGATGACAGGCATGAGCCACCAGTGGCCAGCATAAATGTGAATTTTTTAGGTTTGCTACACAACATAGTGAATACAGCTGATAGTTGAGTACTGAACATTTCAGTAACATGAAGAACAAATTTCTCAAAACAAGGAAGTATCTGAGATGTTAGATATACTAACATCACCGTATCATATTAAAACTAAAACACCATTTTGTACCTTGTAAAAAGTATATACATAGCTGGGCACTGGTGGTTCATGCCTTTAATCCTAGCTACTCAGGAAGCTGATATCTGAGGATCATGGTTCAAAGCCAGCCCAGGCAAGAAAGTCTGTGAGACTCTTCTCTCCAATAAACCACCAGAAAACCAGAAGTGGCTCAAGTGGTAGAGCACTATCCTTGAGCTGAAGAGCTGAGGGACAGAGCCCAAGCCCAGAGTTCAAGGCCCATGACTGACCAAAAAAAAACTTATATATATAAAATGTCAAAAATAATAGTAATAATAAAAGAAATAGTGGCAGGAGTAGACTGTGGTCAGCATACAAACCTTGAAGGCTAGACTGGAGAAGAGGGCTTGGCTGAGAGGTGCGGTTCTAGTATTAACAGCCCTAAGCTTAGGCCCTGAGCTGACACATTCAAGTGTTGATAGACACTAAACATTTGGCCAGCCAGAGGCTCCTGAAACCTGAGTGTGTAGGTGAATCACCTGGTATACTGTTGGGACATACATGCTGAGTCAGCAGGTCTGGGGTGTAGCCTGAGCTTCTGCTTTCTGACAAGCTTCCAAGTGCTGATAGTGGCCCAAGGATCTCAGCTCTGGTAGGAAAGCCTTGCTTCTAATGAAGCGAGTCAGAGCCAAGGGTATCATGGGCCCTGACCTTGCTTGCTCATGTGAGAAAAATAGGCAAGAAGAGGTGGAGAGAGGGCAACCTTGAGCATTCTGTCTGCAGCTTGACAGCACCAGGAATACCTAAGCTGCTTCATAATGCATTGATGACTGTTCTGCCTTCAGGGGTTTGGTTGGGTGTGGCCTGAGAGCTGTCTGGGGATCCTAAGGTACAGCCAAGGCTGGATGCCAGTAGCCTAGAGCCTAATATTCTTTCCAAGTCCTTGTTTATGGGCTGGGGCAAGAACTTGAAATGTTTCTCCAACACCCTATGCTGGGACTAGGTCACGGCAAGAGCAAAATATACCTTGGAATTTAAGAGGAAGGGAAAGGGAGCATCTAAAACTTCAATAATTAAGACAAAATAGTATTTTTTTTTAAAATAAAAATTAGCTGGCTGTCAAATAGCTACTGCTTAAAAGGCTCAGGAGGCTCAAATCTGAGAATCAATATTTGGAGCCAATCTGAGCAAGTTTTTTTTCTACCCAAATAGGTTTGTTTTTATGGACAGTTCTGGTCACTGTCCCCAAGCTTTTTTTGTTCAAGGCTAGTATTCTTCCACTTGAGCCACAGCTCCACTTCCAGCTTTTTGGTGGTTAATTGGAGATGTCTTATGTCTTGGCTAGCTTTGAACCATAATCCTCAGATCTCAGCTTCCTCAATAGATAAGATTACATTCCTGAGCCATCAATGCCCGCTCAACTATTTTCTTTTGAGGTAACAATGTTATTTTTGTGCTAGTACTAGGGCTTGAACTCAGGACTTGCTTGGCTTTTTCCATGCAAAGCTGGCAATCTATCACTGAAGCCACACCTCCAGTTCCCTGGGCAGACTCTTACATCCAGTTAACCAACAAAAAACTGGAACTGGATGGTTAAATAGATGGTTAAAACACCAGCCACTTGCTGAATCAAATACCAGAAAGTAGAGCACATGTGAGTGTACACACACACATGCACACAACAGTTCACAAGAATATAAAAAATTTAAAACTAGGATCTATAATAATGTCACCTTGAGTCATTTTGGAACTTCTGGCAGAAAGGAAACTGACAGTGCTGACAATATATCCACATAGCAGCTGGGAGGCTACACCATCCAGCTATGAAGCACAAGAGTGAGGCTGCTCACTGCCTTTGTGAGCCGGACTCATCACCAACCAGTCATCCTGGGAGCGGTGATGAACAGGTCCACCTTGGCCTCAGACGTTTCAGAACAGTGTCAGAACAATCCTTTAACTAAAGCAACCAAGGCCACAAGAATAACAGAAGACTTTTATTGGGTTTTAAATTCTTTACATATATTAACTCCTTTACTCCTCATTTGGCCTTTTGAGGTAGGGGCTTTATGGTATTGGATTCCATATGTGGGAAAACCAAGTCACAGTGTTTAATAACCTTGTTCAGGATCTCACAGCGAGGAAACAGAACAGGGAAATCATACCCAGCTGGTTTGTCTGTGAAGTCTGTGCTCAAAGCCATTAAACCAAAAAATGCACCCATTTTTTAAAAATCATACTATGTGCCCCCCCATGATACAAAGGGCCAGGCCATGAAGCTATTCAACAACATTCAAAATACTCTGAAAAACAAGCAAACAACTAAATAATGTCAACAACAGAATGACCAAATCTGAACAACAGGAACCCCTGTCTTTATTAAATTCAGGAACCAGAACTCAGCAGTTAGAGGACGAAGCTACCTGTGCGATTTCCCTCCTGGCGGCCTCTCCGCGCAGGGCAGTGGCAGGGGCATCACCGAATGGTGTACTTGTCCCACTTCTTCTCGGGGTCGTAGGGCTCCCAGCGGCTGGCGGGAAAGATGTGCTTGTTCTTCTCGTACCAGCTGCGCAGCACCACCTTTCCCGCGTGGGACTCATCCTTCTCCATGGTGGCATCGCTGAGCAGCCGCACGTCATCGTGCACATCGAAGTTGAAGAGCGGGCCGCTCTTGCCCCGGGCCTTGGTGATGATGAAGTGGTAGAAGGTGTGGTAATGGGGCAGGATGAGGTCCTCCTTTATGTACATGAGCTGTTCCACGCCAGCGGCCCGCAGCTCACGGAAGTCCTTGCGCAGCCCCTGCAATGCCTTCTTCAGGAACTGCTGCACCGTGCTGCCTTTGCACATGCGCACGGTGCGCCGGTGGCCCGAGCCATCCCAGTAGCTGAAGGTGATATCCATTTCCTCACTCTTCACCTTCTCGCGCTTGGCCTCCCACTCCTTGCGCAGCTCCTCCCGCAGCTGGTTCTCCTCCTCCTCCCGGTCACGGTCAGGCAGGAAGCTTGTGTCCACGTCGGGATTCTTGCCCAGGTTCTTCTTGCCCTTGCTGGTCACAGCCGCGCTGTCCTGGTCGTGGTTGTGGTCACCGCCGTCGCCATCCTCGACCTCGCCGTCGTCCAGCGTGAAGGACAGGTTGGAGATCTTGCGCTTGCGCTCGCGCCTGCGCTCCTTCTCGCGGAGCATCTCCAGCTGCAGCCGCCGCTCCTCCAGCTGCTCCCTCTTGGCCAGTTGCATCTCCCGCTCCTTCAGCAGGGCCTCCTGCTTGGCCTTCATGTCGTTCAGGGTCACCAGGCCCACCGTGCTGGACTTGAGCTCGGCCTCCACGGCGTCGTAGTGAGCCGAGAACTTCTTGTCCACCTTGGACTTCATGATGGTCTCCTCCGCGATGCGCTGCTTCAGCACCTCCATCTGCTCCTTCTGCTTCTCGCGCTTCTTGATCAGGTGCATGGCCCGGCCGGCCTCCCGCATGGTGCCCTTGTACTGCGCCATGCCCGCCGCTCAGTGCAGCCCACGCCACGGGTGGAGTCCTCTTCCTTCCTCACGCCTTACGGTTCTGGGTTAATTCACAGATTCTGTAGCAATAAGGGAAAAGGTCATCAATAGAAAAGATCCTACAACAGGGCAGCTTTATTAACAGTTCAGGTGAGTGCCTTACAGTAGAGTGGAAAGGTTCTGTCTCTGGGCTACCTTGTGGCAGCCACCTATCACAGGAGGCTGCTGGGCACTGGAGGATAGCTAGAGTCACCAAGGCAAGGAGGCTTCCCTTCCATTAAACTGACATTGTCAAGTGTGACTACTTAGTGCAGGGCAGGGCAAGGAGACCCGCACAGAACAAACCTTACCTGTCTAGCCGTCTGATCAAGCACAGACTTGTAACAGCCAGAGCTCCCAGCCAATCTGTATGGGTTTCTGAGTATTAGGCACAAGAAGAAAATATGTGTCCTGGTGGTACAGGCCAGCCCTATCTCCTCAGTTGGACTGCCCTCCTCCCCCGAGGGGAGAAGCAAGCCAGGACAGGGGTCAGTTTTGTGGCAGCACCTTCCAGCACGCCCTTCCCTGCAGAGTGGTAATGCTGAGTTCCCAGGGGCACAGGCATTGCCTGCTATCCCCACCGCTATCCCCACCGCTCAGGAAGCAATCATTGCTGCAAATATGTGAGCTTCACAGAAGTAATTTGGACCCAAGCCTCTTGCTGGGAGAACAAGGCATTAGAGGAAGTACATACAGCACATGTACACATCACCTTGTCAGTGATTCAGCCGATGTAGAAGGAGGCCTCCTCCTAATGGTACTATACACTGACCTGCCCGAGTTAGCCATCTCCATTAGCACCAGTCCTATCCTGGCTCACCCCTGCAGCTCTGTCATTCCATGGACCCTCACCCCCATGAACTCCTTGAGCAACACACATGCTGTCACCTAACTTCCTTCCCTCTAAACCTTTTCCCATGCCTTTTGGAATATAGTGCCTGGGCAAACTCTTAGAACTTGCTCTTCATTTTCTGGCCCCAAACTGGAGTCTGTCTGTTCTCTGATACCAACACTCTTCCTATTGCTCCCTAAAGCAGAAGGGACTTCCTTTTGATGTTCCTTGCCATTGCATAGTCTAGAGTAGAAGAGCATCCCAGCTGTTTTAAAAAACACAACCTTTCTTCCCTTCCCTCCCATAGTCTAGAGTAGAAGAGCATCCCAGCTGTTTGAAAAAAACCTTTCTTCCCTTCCCTCCGTTCTTTCTCTCTTCCTCCCTTTTTCCCCTCTCTCCTTTCCTTCCTTCCCCCACTTCTCAGAGCATTGCAGTTGGAACTCAGAGCTTCAAATCCAACTAGACAGACACTGTAAACTACACCTCCAGGTCTTTTTGCTCTAGTTATTTTTGAAGTAGGGTTTCACAGGGCCGAGAACCCTTGCTATTTACCCTTGTAGCTAGGATGATAGATAGGAACCACCATGCCCAGATTTCCCTGTTGTTGGTAGGTATCTTGACTTCCTTTTCCCCTCCCCAGCTAGCTGGCCTTGAACCACAATCCTCCCAATTTCTGTCTCCTAAGTAGTTATGATAATAGATGTGAGCCAAGGATACCTGCTTTTAATTAAATACTCTCAGATACCTCTGAAGCTCATGCCACCTCGCAATCCTACTCCTATCCTCTGATACTATTATTGCTGGAATTCTCATCTTCCTATATCTTTGAGGATTATTCGTTCCTGGTTCAATTGCCTTCATCTCCCATCCTATATGCATTGCTACCAAGAGTCACCAGTATAACCTTCAGTATCTTCTCCTCCTTACTTTCAAAAATCTCCTTCCTTACATCAATTCACTCATTAACACACATGGCCACAACTTACCTCTTATTAGCACCACTCAGTGACTCATCTCAGAAATCAACTCTCTCACCTTCTTTCTTTTCCATTTCTATTCTCTACACTCCAAACAACACTGTACTCAAATGGCTCAAGACCTCTCTACGTAAGGCCCATACCTGTTCATCATGATCACATCCTCTTATCCTTTCCTCCCTGCCTACCAAAGATCAAACTACTTCCTCATGCCCCAGGCCCCTTCCCTGCTATCATTCTCACCTAAGAGAACTCTACTCCTGACTGAATGTAGCCTCTGTCAGCTCTTCAGCCTAGATAGCTGCTTGTCTTGGCAAAAATGGCACAATTTCTGTAGGACAGTCTTATTTGAAGTTCACGACCTCAGAACTCCCACAGAGACTCAAAATCACCTAGAAATTCTGTTAAGACTGTCCTAGTATCTTTGCTATCCAGCCTCTCTCTCTCTCTCTTTTTTGTCCATCATAGGGCCTGAACTCTGGGCCTGGGTGCTGTCCTTCAGCTCTTCAGCTGTAGACTAGCTCTCTACCACTTGAGCCTTAGCCCCACTTCCGTCTTTTTCTGCTTATGTGGTGCTGAGGAATCAAACCCAGGGCCTCATGCATGCAAAGCAAGCACTCTACTACTGAGCCACCTTCCCAGCCCTCAGCCTCTCTTAAGAAAGCAATTTCCTTTCCCCTGTGATTCCTCAAACCTCCCTACTTCACCCAATAATCTAGTAAACATTTACTAGCATATCTCAAGATATAGTTCCTTATTATGATCTAAACACAACAGAGATTCTTCATTAATAATACTTACCTCTTTGCACATGTTCTAACACAGAGACTACATTCAATTTGTTAGAGCTATTTTACATGGCAGTTTTCCTAAATAAGCCCTCTGTGAAAAATGGTTCCTAAACACAAATAACTACGTGAAAGTGTGAGTTAAGGAAAATATTACAGTGCTTTACTGTTAGTTTTTAATATGCTGTTCTCCAGGGTAGCTCTCCAACAAGGAGGTAAAGCATTTCACATTTTCACATAACATTTCTTTTCCTATAAGCTATTAACAGTCATTGAACCAAACTTGGCCTTGAAATGTATGCCAGCCTCTTAGCCTACCCTGTTCTACTGGCAATGATACCTGTGAGCACTATCTTCATCAAGAAACCCTTCATCATGTGATGACATGACAGGGTACCTACATTCCAGAATGAAATTAAGAAAAGGCCATTCAACAAATTGTCCAAACTAGAAATCTAGCAATGTTGACTCTGGTTCACATATAACCAACCAATCACAGAAAATCTTTCATAGCTTTTTTCTTTACCATATTATTATTTTATTTTGTCCATTGTGGGGCTTGCACTATAGGACTGGGCACTGTCCCCATGCTCTTCAGCTCAAGGCAAGAGCTCTATCACTTGAGCCACAGCCCCACTTCCAGTTTTCTGGTGGTTAATTGGAGATAAGAGTCTCATGGACTTTTCTCACCCAGTCTGGCTTTAAACTGCGATCCTCAGATCGCAGCCTCTGAGTACCTAGTATTACAGGCATAAGCCACTGGCACCCGGCACATTATTATTGTTATTGGAATATATTTTTATTAGAATACAGGAGGGATTTCATTGGAACCTTTCCATACATGTATATAATGTATTCCAATCAATCCTTCTCCCTCTCACATTTTTTTGTGCCTGCTATTATGGCTTAAACTCAGTTCTTCCAACTTGCTCAGCTTGATGGCTAGGCTGGCACTCTATCACTTGGACCATGATTTCTCCAGCCCAGCTTTTTGCTGGTTATTTTAGTGATGGTATCTTTTGGATTTTTCTACTTGAGCTGGCTTTGAACTAAGATCCTCTGACATCAATCTCTTTAGTAGCTAGGATTGGAGGGATGAGTCACTGGTGCACAGATCAAAGCCTTCCTACTACTTGTTCAAGAAACTGGCACATTTCCCCCCCCCCCCAACTGAAAACTTTCTCACTGTTGATGCATCATTAATGTATTCTCATTTCTTGTCTATCTTCTTTCTAGTCTGTTCAAGTCTCTCATAAAAAAAATCAATGTTCCTTTGTCTGTCTTACAAGGTTTCTAGGAAGTGAACCCACCCACTGTCAATGTGTCATATGCAGCTACCCAACTTCCCACTGTTCTTCAATATAAGATACCCTTTTACAAATGTTACCTTTGTTTTCATTGTTCCTAGAAAGTCCTGTCCTCCACTGTATAACTTACTGCTCAATGTCAGCTCAGATGTGGCCCATACTACCTTCTACCACCACCACCAACCACAGACACACTGTTACCCATACTCTTACTTTATTACACAATATAAGCCAGAATGCCTGGCTTACTTTTTTAAAATCACATAATCCAAGTATCCACACTTTAATCCAACTGACTCTAGGTTATTGCATCTATTATAATTATCCTTCTTTCTCCAGGCTACTCAGAATTTGGTTTGCCATAGTCTCTAATCCTCCTCTTTATCCCGCCTCTCATTACCTAGCATCCAGACCTTAACAATCATCACCTCCAAAGACCTTTTAGGAGCCCCTAGTCTGGAAATGCTAGAAAAGTTAAAACAAAAACAGAAAGAAGCAAATTTATCATTGGTGTATGACATCCTGATCTTCAGACTTTTCTGAAGTTCCAAGATGGCAGCCTCCTCTTGCACCTTAATTCTGTAAAAAGTATCCCTGCCAAGCTTAAAGCTACTGCTTTAACTTTTTTAGATGTTATCAACAATAACACAGATAATGAAAGGGAGGGAACAACAATCAGGTTCAATGAACATGAAATGCTGGCTTCATATACTAATTTTAAGTTATAGAAAAGTAATTTCATCCAAGTTTAGTCACAAAGTAATCTAATATGCAAAACACTTAGAATATTTTAACAGAAAAAAGAGACAAAAAGCTGTGTGATGGTGGCTTATGCCCGTAATTCTAGCTACTCTGGAGGTTGAGCTCTTAATGGTCACTTTGAAGCCAGCTCAGGCAGGAAAGTCTGCGAGACTCTTATCTGCAATTAACCACCCAAAAAGTCAAAAGTAGAGCTGTGGCTCAAGTAGTAGAGTGCTAGTCTTGAGCAAAAACCCACTCAGGGACAGCACCCAGACCCTGACTAAAATGAAGCCCAAAGACCAGTACAAAAAAG